CACCTGGGCACAGATGAAGAAGGCCACCTGTGATCAACCAGCTTTCTTGGGCCTCCCCTTATAATCTATAAGATCAAGAGAAGGAAGCAAATGACTGAAACAGAAGGGAAGCTGCATAGTGTTCTTCAAAATTATGTACCAATATCACAGTGCACATTGTGACCTCTGAAGTTTTGTGGTTTTAAGGTAAACTATTTAGACTCTTATTTCTTAGGGAGTTTCTGAAGAAACAAAAAGAGGAAGCAGGCTATGAAGGTTAAAATGAAGGTTAAAAAACCAATACCAGCAAATACACAAGAACTAACTTCAAAAGTTAAATAGATACTTCTGCACTGGGGGTGGGGTGCACAAGGCAGAATACACAGAGACTCTCAAAACTTACACTGAGTCTTAAAATGACAAATCTGAGAACCCGAGATTGTGCTAAAAAGTGAGATTATCACATAGAATCAAGGAACGGTTTGGGTTGGAAGGGACCTTTAAAGGACATCTATTCCAACCCCCAGGCAGTGAGCAGGGACATCTTTAGCTAGATGAGGTTGCTCAGAGCCCTGTCCAACCTGACCTTGAATGTTTCCAGGGATGGGGCATCTACCACCTCTCTGGGCAGCCTGTTCCAGTGTTTCACTACCCTCATTGTAAAAAATTTCTTCCTTGTATCCCGTCAAAATCTACTCTCTTTTAGTTTGAAACCATTACCCCTTGTCCTGTCACAACAGACCCTGCTAAAAAGACTGTCACATCTTTCTTATAGGACCCCTTTAAGTACTGAAAGGCCACAATAAGGTCTCCCTGGATCCTTCTCTTCTCCAGGCTGAACAACCCCAACTCTCTCAGCCTGTCACCAGAGGAGAGGTGCTCCAGCCCCCTGATCGTCTTCATGGCCCTACTCTGGATATCCATGATGCAGGAATACAGGAACCAATTGCAAATATTAATTTTGTCTACCAAAATGATTGAGATAGGAGAAAAACTTGCACAATTCTCTTATTTTCATTAATTTGTAATATGAAAGAATATTAAGGATTCACTAGGTTTACCTGAAGTCAAAGTTACTTCATGTAAAAAAAGAAGACATTGTCTTAACAGCATTACACTATTAACCAACTTCATAATCAAAACCTGTCTGCTTAGTATTTTACTTTCACCTGCCCCTCAAGGACCCAATTTAGTTGATTACAGGATAAAATATTGAGGTCTGAGACTAAATATAGTCTCCAACAGAAAAAACCTAGGTGAAATTTCAAAGAGCAAGCACTACACAAATAAAAAAAAAAACAACCCACCAAAAAAAAACAGGTCTCATTGTTTTAGAACATTAATTCAGTCAGAGTCTTATCTTGAAGTTCACATTAAGCACTTAAGACTCAGAAAATATAAACAGAAGTACTGCAAATTAATAAAAGACGGCAAGAGCATAGTAACACACAAAACTTTTATCAGTGTTTTGGGTAATTGCTCTTGTTATACCAAATCACCCAATACTCCAAGACTGTAATAAGCCCTCTGTATAAAGGCCTATTAGCCACCCTTCGGTTCCCATTATAAGAAGGTATCTAGTCCTTACCAATTTCAGGGATGCTCAAAAGCTCCCCAGTAAAACTGAAGATGCTTCTGCTGACAATAGTATCAGGAAGTGTTCCTGCTAACTACCATTTTTATGCCTACAGCACAAGGTCTTGCAGCATTAGAGAAGCTAAACTAGTCTCAACACTCACCTTAGCAAGCTGAGAATGCACATTATTGATGCTACCTTACTTGTGCAAGTAATACAGCATTTACATCACCACGATTTTGCTCTCCTGACTGGGAATCAGGCTCTTACTTGGACCAGTCTCCTACCTGCCTTATTTTTTACTATCAGCTAAGTTTAATGCAATCCCCCTACCCAATTAGTAAAATAAGCACTCTGCAGACTGCGGGGTGCCTGCAGGACCACAACAGAGAAGCCCAAACACCAGACACACTGAATACAGGTAGGCTTTTGTCCAAAGATCAGCAGTCTAGCAGGCATGGTAGTGACTCCATGGGATTTATTAGATTAGCTTGGCATACCTCCACGTCAGTGAGGCTACCTGGTTTTAGCATACAGCTAGTTTAGGGTACAAAAGTCTGTGTACATCAGTCAAACTGGCACCCCTAGGGAATCAGCACCCTTAATACTGGTTTTTTCCCCACATCAGAGCATGTCATCTTTGAAAGTATCATGGAGGAAAACCATCTGTTGCTAAGAAAAGCTGAGATGCTGTCTTCCTTCACACGGATAAGGTAATGACTTCTTCTCTTAACAACTTCATCCCACTTTTCAGATAAAGATTGTTGTAGTTGCAAACTTAAATACGGTGCTAGGGCTAGGTAATATTTTCAAATACACCAATTACGAACTCAGAAATTTCATAACGTTGAACTGAAACTTCCCTACTTTCCATAAAATAGTAATACAAACAATGACCAAAAACGGTTCCAGTGTCAAAATCAACGAAAATGTAACTACCCCATACAAAGCAGAGTAGCATCAGTGGGATAGCTTCAAGAAACTGCTTTCAAAACACTATTACGGTGACTAAAAAAATTACTTAATACTTGGTAGTATAGGTACAAATTCCTTCAAGTAGAAGAGGTGATTAAAGACCTCTCCAACATGTTAGGAGTTTAAAGCACTGTTGCTATACCCTTCTCCTTCACATATAATTCATTAACTCTGGTTCATCAGGTGTGAGATCCAAAAAGAAAATGAAACAAGCACACTACCATCTCAGTAATTCATTTCATATTATCCACAGTTAATGGTTTTACGTATTTATACTAACACAGATTTATCTTTAGTCATTCCAACCTAAAAAAAGAGAAAAATCCGTTCTTCACATATGCTGATACATTTTACTAGTAAGAGCCAGGATAGCCGGCAGTTTCAGTAAAAGCCCGATTGATTCATTCAAATTGATTAGTGTAGCCTTCGGAATTATTCTTAGAAATTACGATTACTATAGTAAATAAATGAATACAAGCATTCTATTGTGAAAGCATGTACAACTGAACTTAAAAGTTCAGTGATGCTTTATAAAGGTAGGTGTTACTAGCCTGCAAATACTACATTGAGGCACTTTGTTGATTTAAAATATAGGTATATACTTACAAGTGTAACTTAGAAGCAAACGCAGAAGTTATTCAAATAAATCCTATGTCCTTTTTAAAAGCTAGCATACACAAGTCCTAAAGAAACTCTGTCCCATACTTACATAATTACAAAGCCCCCATAACGAAGAATAAAATAAGTCCTCAATATTTACTACTTCTTGCTGGAAAAAAAAAAAAAAAAAATCGATGGGTATTATCCATGTTCTCTGAAAACTTGCTCCTTTTGCAGTTAAAGGTCTGCAAGTTAGCACTGAGTTAAGCCTTCATCTGGAACCCTGAACCGTCCATAACTATGCTGGGAACATCCTACCAGAACAGGGGAACCAGTACAGAATATACAGGAGTAAAATATCCTAAATCACAACACTGGAAGAAAATAAACAACCATGCTTTGCAGTGCCAGAATAACACCAACAAAACACCAAGTTATTCAGCCATTACAGTAAAAACATATTGTTGCCAAAGCAGCTTATATGTATATATTGAGGGGGCTTCAACTGACATAACCATACCACCTATGGATTTCACGTTTTCACTCACTGCCTAAATTATACCAGTAAAAGCTTGACGTGTAGCACAGTTGTAAAGATGTATTTAATTTCACATGTAAGTAGTCCTAGTGAAGGTATTAATTGTATGCAAAAAAAATTGTGCATAAACAAAGACCTTTGTGAAAAATCAACAACTTAGAACGTAACTGTATTTTATTTTTATTAGAGATTTAATATTATATCTTTAAACTTCTTGGTAATCACTCTGGAATTTAATCACTCTAATTGTTACTACGTAGTATTAATGACCACACGTAACAATCATACTTGAAATACGAATGCAAAAATACATGCAAGCGATTCATTAGCTTCTCTTTCCTCCCAAAACTAACTCGTTCTTTATACAAAACAAAATCAACAAAAACCACCCATCTCAAAAAAGTAGCCACTTTTACACAAAAAAAGATCCATTATTTTAATCACCATTTTAAAATTTCCTGCAGTGAACACAATGATTCCACAAACAGGTCACATACAAAGCAGTACAGAATTTGTCCTAGAAAGCAGAAACTATAATAAAAAGATTCTAATACAAATTAGTGCTGCTGCACCTGCTGCTATTTAAACAAAATGGAAAAGAATAAATAGTGCCCTTAAACAATTGGGAAACTGATCTCCTAATAAAGTGCAGTTGCCTACCCATAACCGCAAAGAACAAACAGGAATATGCCTATCAGGATTGCAAGACTACAGTGCAAGCTTTGCTGAATTTATCATAGTTACAGTGGAATAGAAGCAAACAAACAGGCATATGGCATATATGCAGGCTTCAAAACTACCTATTAAAATTGTCAGTTCTCATCTTAACTAAGCATAATAAATAAAACCAGCTACAGAACAGATTCTCACATTGCCTGAATCTGCAAGAACCTGGTTTTCAGCAGAAATACTATTACAGTAGTTGAGGTTCTGGCTTGATATTCTTATTAAAAACATTATATATGGTTAACAAAACATTTTCCATACTGTTTTGTTCTCCATAATCTTATGAATTATTTTCAATTATAAGAGTATAAATTGTTCAATAGGATCCATCTGGAATACTTCGCATCGGCAATTACGAAGTGAAAATAACAGCAGAAGCAAGTAATTTGCAGATCTTACTTTTCCAAATTCTTACTCTATAGTTTAATAGTCTGATATATTTAAAAGAAGCCATCTGTTAATTTTCCTTCTCTTAAGATTACCTACTAATTATCTTGCTTTACAACTACCCTCTCTCTCTCTCTCTCGCTATATATATATATAAGGTAAGAACAAGAAAGCTACAGAAATAAAATAATATAAACACAATACTTATAATGACCATACCTAGTAATAAGAACCGCATTATCATGGTGGGCAATCCCATTTTCTGGAATGGTGTTTCCATCACTTTGGTGGGAGAGAATGGATTTCTGCCACTTACAGAAGCTATCGAGGGACTTGTCTGCATGGTGGTTTATCTCCAAGTTTGGCTGCAATACAACATGCATACCAGAAATGTTCCAAACAAATTACTAAGGTCAGTTGTTAAGCCTTTTGAAAACTAAAATGGGACTATAATTAGAAGCAGTGGTTTCTAGGAATAAACTCTTCTCACCAAATTTTATCTCTGTAAAATCTGACCCCAAGTTCAGCCGTGTATTAATGAACAGGCATTCTTTCTGCTCCAACTTTAATAATTATTATGTCAATACAAAAATATCAGAATATCAAAACATAGATCTAAAAATAAAACTGACATCCCTGAAGGTGTATTAATATTCACCTGAAGTAAGACAGATATCTTTGAGATGATACATGAGGAATATTCCTTTAAAATGTTTCATTTTGATTAAACTACTGAAAGATTACTAGATGGGTTTTGTGCTCAGAAGCAGCTAGTTCAAGCAATAATTAAATGAAATCTGTATTATACAATAACATAACTTTTATTTCAGGGATATAAAGTTTAGTACAATAGCTCTTACCTGATCTTCAGTGAGGACAATTAAACGTGTCACTATAATATTCACAACGTTTCCTAGACTGGAATCACGATAAAGTTTGGCAACCTGACCTCCAGAAAATAAGAAAAGGCACAAAGTCAGACAAGAAACACTACTTTATTTCCTAAACTGTTAAAAATTAACCCATTTGCTCACTCAATGCTATTTCATAATGTTAATTATCATTATCACCTGAGTAAGAGTTATTTTTGGACCAAAAATTACTATGAAGTAAACAAACTTTTTTGGGTCACACTTTTCAATCGAAACTGTTTATACCTTGTTTCATAATTCATTCAGCACAAGGAGTATTTAAATTGTTGACTTAAACAGAATAGAACTGCACAATCTGAAAGTAATTATATTAATTTAAAATTAAAGCAAAACAATTTAAAAGTGATCACAGCATACTTCTTGACAGAAACAGTACTGTTTTTTTCCCCACAATTTAGTTGAATTCAAATAGTTGAAACATTTGCCATATTTCAACTATTAATTCCTGCAAGCTGATACATGTTGTAAAGCATTATTCATGCCAATAAATACATACTTTACAGTTGCTCTATCATTTCAGTACATGCATATTGATACGAATACAGAGAGGGATGAAACTTACAATATTCATTACACTCAAAATATAGTGTTCAATGTCTTTGCGTCCATGGTATCCCACCATCATTTTGTCTGCTACTACCAGCGTTTCCACAAACCGTTCAAGGCTTACTGATCTCTTCTGTCGACTGTGACTACTTAACGTGTCATTGATTGGAAGTGAAGCTGGAAAAGCAGATGCATCACTCATCCACCAAGGTTTACCACTTCTTGTGAGGTCTTCTAGGAACCAAAAAAAATTAAGCACTTCAGAGGGGTCACTAGTAAAACTCATTCAAATGCAGCTGATTTATGTTGAGATTACCATCTCCAAGCTTCTAATGAGAAGTCTTTCTTGAGGCAAATAAAAAAAAAGATAATATCTTAAATATATTATTATTTTAAAAAACCTTATATAATGGAAAACCAACTTTATAATATTTGCAACTCTCCTTAACTTGACAGGATAATAAATCATCAATCTTGTCTTAACAGATCTGATTCTGCACCTTTATGTTAATACTAAAGATTAGTTATAATAAACCACAAGCACACTTCAGAATATTAAGGATAAGAACAAAACAGGTATAATATTTGGAAAAAACATACTGGAAAAAAAAAGAAATTAAGGTAAGAGGTATCAAAATATACTAAGGAATTAAAATGCTGGTAAGGCACCAAAAAAAGCTTCTTCCCTCCTGTGAAACTCTGCAATTATTAGGCAATTATGCTTACATGCCTAATAGTTTTCAGGCCAAATAAATTAATTTTCTCTTCAGGAAGCTATCAGATAACATTTTATCTACCTTGTGAATTAACTATAATGTGAAGTTTAAAATGGCCTGATATGGGATAATTGCTATAGTTATTTTTAATACCAATTTTAATACAAATATGTTGATTCTTGTACTTGTTTCATGTAAATGCATAGAAAAAATTGCTTCCATGCAAGAAATTGATTATTAAAAATCCAAACAGCTGTAATTATCAGCAGAACGAACATTATGAATTTACTCTGAATTCGAATTCCTGTCCTGTGGACAAAATTGAACCTGCCCTTTCGCGCAAAACTGGCATTTTTGTGTGTATTAAATATCCCTCTTCCACAAAGGCCCGCACAGATATCAACCTGAAGTTTATCAAAGTATATTACTAGTCTGGTTTTACCTAAGTAGGATTTCAAAATATCTAAGGTATTCTTGCTAGTTATGGATGAATATAAGAACGTTAAAAGTTAGATATATTTGTAATTGTCTGAACAGGACTGCTTAAGTGAGCAATTTCTGAGATGCATCCTTACCTCTACTAAAATGAGTTCAGCTGAGGATGAGCTGAGATAGGACCAGTACCTTCCGTGAAAAAGCAATGCTTTATGCAAATCAACTAAGCATGCTATTTTCAAAGAGCAATAACTACACCACAAAGAATGTACATTCAGGTCAAAGCCAGGAATACGAAACTGCAGCATTCCTACCGTTGAAGTGTTCCATAATTTTTGAGGCCACAGTGTTGGCTTTAAAAGGTGCATATTTGAGAAAAGTCAAAAGTTGAAAAAGTGCCGATAATAAAATTGTCCTCATTCTGCAATGGGTATTATCCAGTCTAAAAAACTGTATTAAGTATTAAAGCCTGTTGAGGATTCTCTAATGAATACCAAGCTTTTTCCTGTTTTTCATCTCTATTATAGGAAATTCAAAGTTGCTTTAACTGTTCAAAGATTTTCATCTCACTTAAGCAGTGATTTAGGAACGTCTGGAATTTTCTCTGATAGCTTCTGCACTAAAATTTTTAAAAATCCACTCTCAATTTTCAGACAACAATTGGTGATGTCAGAGTTTCTGATGCTCTTAAATTGCTAGAAATACTTTAGAAATGCAATACTGTTTCCACACTCATTCATATTTTCACTCAAAGATGCAAATCTATTCTAAACATTTGAAAAATGATGAGCTCATGCAGAAAACCTTCAGAGAAAAAAGAAAATATTATTTTGGTCTCATCTCGATAGAGTCTTTCAAACAAAAGTCTCAGAAGATTTCACAAAAACAAACAAAAGAAAAATTTTTTTCTCCTTTTCTTATCAGATGAGAAGCTTAGGCTTCAGCTGGTCTCAGAGTAACGGGAAAGCTGGAAACAATCCCAATTATTTAGGCTTACACTCCAGGATCTACCAATTCTTATGATGCTTTACTCTAAAAATGCTAAATAATGCTAAATGAATTTTCTCCAAAAAGCTAAACCACATCAATAGAAGTTTGCAATATATTTAACAAAAATAGTTCTGTGGCAAGCTATGTCATTTTTCCACCATATTCCTAGATTAAAAAAGAAAAAAAATTAATTTCATTAACATCAAACATAGCTATCAGGAAGTAAAAAAAAAAAAGGGGGGGCAAAAACTGAAAGAAAAAAAACACACAAAAGAACAATGTGATTAACCCCAAAGTAAATATTACGAAAGGAGGGAATTAAGTTTTAAACTGCAACTGAAAAGAAATCCAACCCTGTGTAGACATGGAGTTCACAACTATGGTACGCAAGTTTCCCTAAGTCAGTCCTCTAAAGACATTAGGTGGGGGTAACGGAGGAGAGAGAGAAGAGAACACAAACACAAACAGAAAAAGATCTCAAAATGCAACAGAAAGCTACTTATGTAAGATGCAACTATGACAATATTTTTAAGTGAAGTATTACGTGCTGCTTTTTTCTAACTATTTTAACATCATCATTTAATGTATATAAAAGCATTTTTTTCATTTTAGAACACATCGACTGTAAAGTCTGTTGCCAGTAAAACCACTACATAAAGCAGCAAATAGTCTGTCACTCTGCAGCTTTCATATGTCAACTTTTCTTGTTTCTCAATCGTATCCAAACACAGCATTCTGGAAGATAACCCAACGGTCTCAAATCCTATCAAAGCAACTGGAAGTTGACATTGGTCAACTTCTTACCAAGGCCTTAATGATTTCAGTTATACTTAATAAAACATAGTTAAGTTGATGACAATACATACATGAAATTGTAAATTAACATTTTTTATTTTTTAAACATTCTTATGTCTAACTGCTTAAAATTCAATTTAGTTTATGAAAATCTATCCCATGTTCTTATCCGATTCTCCCTGCCTCTCCAATTCTTCTGTTGTATTGGCTACCATAATTCTACTATCTACTATGAAGCAGTCAATCACTTGCTTATCCCAGCCAGTTTTGATCATTCTTTCACTGAACTACCCACCCCACTTCCTATCAACTACTGCAGTTTTTCTCAGAAAGGTCAGAAATAATACTCCTCTTGACTCTGTCAACACTTTAAAGCCTTGACCACTTCCCTGATACAGAACACATACATGGTAAATTTAGGTCTAGATTACAGGAGGGTAAACTTGCCAGACCGTGAACAGTGGCACAGCTACACAAGCAGATTCCTCGCAGAACATTATACTGGCAAAACTGTTCTGAACGTAAAGCTAAAAATCAGTCTCCAGACAAAAATTATATACCACCAAAAGGCAGCTACAGGTTTGTTACGACTGCATTTTAAAAGACAAAATTGGACTGATGAAAACTTCCAAAACCAGTCAAATGCCCCAAAGACTACCATAAACCCGGCTCTAGTCCTAGGATCTGAAAGCTGTGAAACTCAAAACTAATTTATTATTTTACTTTTTACGTATTCTGGGGATGCTCTCAATGCAATGTCTTTGGGCAGCAGTGCTCAGAAAATGAGTTTTAAAGGTTTTGGTACCCCTCAGGAGAACATGAAAACAGGATACCATTTGGAAAAGTAAAACCTTGACGTTTTGGGGGAGAGGAAATTTTTTCAGAAATCTTCATGGAGTGGAAGTAGTATAGAGAACAACAGGAAAAGAATAAACTGAGATGAATGAGCATGATAGTAGTTACAGGGTTGTAAAAAGCAGTACTTTATTTTAATAATCAAGGACTTCAGGATGTGACAAATATGAAAGCTCAGGAAAAGCACAGAAGCTTCCAAGGACAAAGGCAGCATCAAATACGCAAAGAAATAAATGCTACAGATTACTGCATGTTTCACAAAAAATGCACACAAGATGTGCCACTCTGATCAACCCATGACCCATATGACAGATACCACCAGAACGACTGAATGCAATCTAACTGAAATAGCTGCCACTGCTTCATCCTCACTTGGAGGAGAATGACTTCCTAAGCACTAATCTAAACAGTAACATCTGACAGAGGCCCATATCCTTTGTTTTTCTAGGAATATAATAATGGTAAAAATTACATCATCCTACATTTCATAATCCTTCCACTTATTTCCAGAGGCTTAAGTGACAGCTTTCCCTAAAAATGAATATACATTAGTACTCTTATTGTACAATTAGTTAGCAGGCAGTAATAGTTAAGAGACTTGTTTTGCAGTATTAGAAGCATGTAGATGGAATAATGCTTCCAAACTAAAACAGAAGTTGCATACCTAAAGCCTGACATTCCCTAAACACAGTTAACTGAAACACTCAGGAAAAACGGTCTCCCAAGCATGGGCTTTGTAGACAATCTGTACTGTAAGTTTAGTCAGCTGGGGTTGTTAAAAGTTACAATATCCAAAAGAAAGTGAAATAAGTTACATCAATGAATAGTGATACTATTTTAAGATTAGTATTTGTCAGCCTGCCCAGTGCATTGTATCTCATGGAATACAACTGCCCAGGACCAAACTTTCAAGAACAAGCTATTTCTGAGATATAAACAAAAGACAAGGTTAGAACATTTTTTTCTATTATGTGAAAAAGCTGTTATTTTACTGCTGTAAAATAATTTGTCAGATTTACTCCATGCTGTCTTCAAGAAGTTAGTTCTCAGCTTCAGTTTAAGCAAGTGAAAATCATGTCAAAGCGTTCTTGAAAAGTGTATTTGTGGAAGTTAAAACTGCTTTACAAGGAAAATACCTCTCAATCAAAACTATATAATCCTTCCCACAAGGCACCTGTAAATCACGTATTTGACTGCTATGGAATAACGTTAACCCACTGAACCAAAAGCCAGTATCAAAACATTGTAAGCCCCCATAAATGAGAAAGATGTGGACTCCATTTCCAAATGTATTACTAATCATAATACTAACACATTTATTGCATGTCAAGTTTCCTCAAATGAGACGGAACACTCACTAAGCATTGAGCTGTAATACTTAGTCACTCAATCATGCTTTCCAATTGGAGAACAAAGTACTTTATAGCACATTTTGAGGAACCCTGTGCTCATTACTACCACTGTGCACAACACAGGCATAAAACAAGACTTTTCTGAGTGTCTCAGTTTTTGAAAGACACTATACTCTCGATTTGAATCTGAAAAAAAAAAAAGCAAAACTATTTTTCAACAGGATACATTGCATCACCCAAAAGGAGGATTCTCATGGCTACATTCTCCATTGTGTCTTACATGTGAACTAAGCAAGATTTTAAAATACACCTTGAGTTATAATTTTTAAAAGGAATGAGAGTCGTATTCATTTACCTGAGACTCCACAGTGGCTGTGATCATAGAGATGTTGCTTGTGCATGGTAGATTTTTTATATATAACATGAGGATGACCGTTCTCATAATTAAAGTTACTAGAATCTTCTGTTATATTCCTTAAAGGCTCAATAAAATACTCTTCATCTTCTGTAGCAATGACTCCATGCTTAAAGAAGAAAATACAAAAATAAAAACTTGCAAAAGACAATACAAAACTCATATTAAAAAGCTTAACTTTAAAAAACATTTTAAATGAAGAAATTCACAACTATAAGCTGACACAGAAAACAATGCATGAGCCAGCTCTACTCCACTGATTTTAGTGGGAGCAGGAGTAAGCGCCTATAAGCAACACAATGAGAAAAAGAATAAAAATATCATCGCCCTATTTCTGGAGTTCTTTCCCATCATTTTTGGTGGATGTGGTAAGAAAGCAAGATATATTCCTGGTATATGACAAATAATCACTTCACAGAGATGTTCCAAAACTACATGAGTCACATCCCTTAAAACTGATGCCAAGCCAAAATGGCACTGCTCAAATGGTGAGACCCTCTACGATGCCACACAGGTAGATGCTTAAAGCCACATACTGCATGAAGGATTAATTTTAGAACACATATTCAGGGAAACCATTCAGCATTTTACATCCAGATGTTTAATTCCAAAACTGCCTAGTTATTAAAATCAAATTATTAATATTAACTTAGGATACACTATCTAAAAAGCACTTATTCCTTAAAAGCTCTTGCCACAAATCTGGCAAATATGAGTTATTGCAGAATGTGCACTAGACCTCATTCTCTGTAACAAATCAACATTTTTTTTCCTCATACTGCAGTGCAGAATAGTAGATATTCTATTTTCATAACTTTCACATTTGTGAACTCAGCTTCTTCCAAACAGGAAGTGGTTTATGGAAGAAAGGGGAGAGATTTCAGGCCAACTACGCAATTTCCTGAACCTTCAGCAATTAAAACTGTACTTTAGCAGAAAATCCAGTTTGGGGATCCTTTTGGATATAAAAATATTGGGGAGTAAGTCCTGGCAGACTCCTACACCATTTATTTGCTAAATAAAAGATTCTGGTACCCTTATCTAGAAAATTCTGAATGTAAGAACTTTCCACACTGGGAGAAAGAGGTACTCATTAGGTAGAAGACTGGAAGAAGGAACCTCTGCATTCATATCCTGAACCGATGAACTACAAATTTCTACCACGCTTTTGATCTGTAAAGCAAACGCTATGCATAAGCCTTTTTTTAAAGAGGTTATTTTTTTCCTCTGATGAGACCTCTATTACCAGCCATAAGACCACTTGCTCCATATCAGCTCTAAATATCCTAAAGCTGTTTCTAAGATCAGGGCTTGCCATCCTACTCTTGGTCAAAACTGTCATCCTGCTGTTGTTTTGTACATCAAGTGCCTGCTGTTCTTCACTCCTTGAATAACAGAGTTTCAGTAACAACATAAAACTTACAAAATAAAAAAATCAGAAAGAACAGTGTTTTCCAAATATATTCCTGTTGTTAAGTTTTGAAAATATATGCATGGACACACTGCAGCTTTCAATTACACTTTCCTTACACAGTGACAATAACAGTAAGTGCTCCTCTTCGGTGGTATTTTTCATTATGAACTCTATTTACTCACGAAGGTAGTAACATGAGGGTCTATATTCACCTGGAAGATGCTGGTATCAAATTCCTCTCACAATGCTTTCTTGTCACTTGGAGTATAAGGTTTTACCAGAAAATAAATCATTTACTGGTACAGTGCTGCTTAAATAGTATTGAAAATATAAAGCAAATTTTAACTGGGTTTGACAGATGTGTAGGAAGAACCCTGACAGTCTGGACTGCAGCCAGTCTGGATGTCAGACATCTGGGTTCAAGTGAATCCTGAGCCATTATAAGCTCTGGTATTATGTTCCCACAGGAAGTGAGTTCTGCAGAGTGGTTCTGGACAACACCATCAAGCTGTCCGCTTCATGCCAAGCCTGAGGTGACTGAGGTACCATCCAACCTGTGGCTCTATCTCTGCAACGGACTGGGTCTTAAGTTAAATCTGATTACCCCACAGCATCAGTACAGACTTCATGTTTGTACCTAAGTCCATCCAGGTTAACAAGTCTAAGCATGAATGAAATGTTTATATCAGATACTGAAACTGATAGTTTTAAGCAGTGAGATGACCTTAGTGGGAGTGAGTCAGTTCAGATGCCATAAACAACACTTAATTGCAGTATTAATTCTCTGTACACATTGTGTATCTGCAGGAGCAAATACACAAAAACTATTATGAATGTCTGCAAACTATGATTACAGTTCCTTCAGGTACCAGCAGTGAAAATTGTTAGCAGAGTATCAGATTTTTCCTAAACCTAGCTGACAACTGAGTTCATCTGCCTGAACACTATAATGGTTTAAGAAAAGAGATTTTAATAACATTTAGTTGAGGAACAGCAAATAAATTTTAACTTATACCTACCACCAGGTAGTCAGAACATGTAGGTGGTCAGCTGCTGCAGCTAGCCAAGCAATTTGATAAACAATGTAAAAGCACTGTGTATGCCCTTCACATAAGGCCAGCATACATCTATCATTTTAAATCTAACACACTAAATGTCCTTCCAACATTAAACTGATGAAAGTGGTCTCATTGAACTGCAGTGACTGATTTTTAAGAAGCACTTTGAATTCTACATATAAAAAGTACCTAAGTCAGTGGCAACCAGCATTTCTTCTAATTATAAGTTTAGAAAACTCATGTGGCTAGAAATATTTCCATTTTACATGCACTCAGCAACGACTGATTAATAAATAGTGGGAATTATGCTATTATATCCAAACCAACATTCTGAACCCTGTTTTTGGCTTATAATCTACTATTTGCGCAAAACACAATTTCAGCTGAAACAGGAGACTGAAATAATACCCTTCTGAAGCCTTAAAAGGAATTACCTTTCTTTTAGTTCTGCTATAGGATTTGCATAGTTTGTAAATTAAACTTCTGCTCCAAAGCACAAGAAATATCATTAAGACATAAGAATGACTAGCAAAAGGTTTTGACAAAATACCATAAATTTAAGAAACAAGCTGAATGCCCCAAGTAGGTTACTACAAGCAACATTCCCAAGATTATTATCTAAAACAGATTGTTTGAGGTCCTGTGTTATCCAACCCCACCACAGACTGCCAACTCCTGCTAACATATATAAGGTCTGGATCCAGCAGTTTGACATGCTCAGACAAATCTGTGAACCCATATGGAGTTCCCCTGAATTTGTGAAAAGGAATCTTTTTCTGTCAGGTTGTCCAGCTGGGTCTTTAACCTCCTTCAGACAGGGAATGTCCATCAGTAACAGAAGCAAACTGAATTACGGAGGACAAGTAAGTCCATGCCTTTTTCACACAGTACTGCTCTTTTACAATTTCCCCACGCTTTGAATCTTTCTAGACTTTATGCTGTATCCTTTCTTAATATAAAGTAGTTGAAATGGAAACTTCTGAAAATGTGTCAGTGTTGTCCAGTACGTCTACAGCTGGCTATACACTTCAGTGCGGTTTTATAATTGAGGAACAAATTGCATTGGCTTACTGTGTTCTTAAAGATGAAAAAAATAGTGATCTGATGTGAGACAGCACATCACGAAATCTAACAAGACACTTGGAAACTAGGATATGGAGAGCTTATATGATTTCCTGAATAATAAATTTATACTGCAAATACATATTAGTACCAGAGAACTCCAAAGACACTGATCTAGAACACTAAATCCTTTTCAATATCATTTGTGATCTTAATAAATTATTTTATAAATTAGACATTATTTTACATAAGATTCCAAAATACCAATCTAGATGCAATTTATAATCTATAAAAGTAGATGTATTTTTTATGGTAGAATCAGCTTTCAAATGAGCCAATTTTAAAAGGATATGAATAATTTATACATATATGACTTCAGGAACACACAAAACAAACGTGAAGTCTTCCAGCAAAATAATTCCTTCTTTAACCAAACAAGGTCATGCTTTTAGCCACATCCTACTTCTGGCATCTTCTTTGCCATTTCTCTTTGGATGATGACATCTGTGCTACCCAGCACAAATGTTACTCCGCACGGAACTTCACACTCCATGGAAATACCTGGCCTTTTACACTAAACATTTCCTTGGAACCACGGTAGCCTCAAAATGTGATTTAACCTCTCATTCACTTTCCACATATTAAGTATTTCCCACTTTTCAGCTCAAAATGAGAAAATCCACTACTGTGGAAAACTTGTCTGAGCACTCAGTTAAGAGCTTTGACACCTGGCAGAGGACAGAGGTGGGCGAGAAAGCAAAAAGGCTGGTTTCTGCTCAATTCCACTACTATGAGTTCCACAATGTTTCTTCTTTAAGACTTGTTCCCCTCAGAATTAAGACAAACTTCTTTCCCTTGAGGTGAAGTTCTTCTCTCTTCAGCCAGTCTACCACTGTTTCTTCTCTTCTTTCCTTCAGTATTACATAGCTTAGGCAATGCCTCAGCCTTGCATTCAACATCGAAAGGCCCCAAAATGCCACTTGTTCCAGGCTCTTTCATGAGAAGTCCAAACCTGCAATCCACCCACGAATGTAACATCTAAAGTAAATACAAGTTTGGAAGCCAGCAAGCCTGCTGGACAAGACCTTCAATTTCCTCACATGACTGCTCACCGGATTATAGAGCTTTCCTCATAACTTCGGACAATTTACAGCATAATCAGGGCCCAGCAGATGGAAACTGCTGGAATGAAACTTCAGTAAGTAGCAGTATGTAATTCTGGTGCACTTGTGTAGTTAAGTTAAGCAGTAAGTTAATTTCTGACTCTTACAACTTGGTAATGAGAAATACAGGAGAGGCTGAAACAGGAAACAGTGACAGGGAAATTAACTTACTGCTCATCAGTTTCATTATAATGAAACTGAGAGAAAGCCTTCCTTGCACTAGAACTCATCTCAGATATTACAAGTGTTCTTTAAAGTCATACAACGTACATTAATTAGATCATGGTCTCACCTGACCCCCCTCAGTAACTAAACAGAGTAACTCAAAATATTCACTAAGGGGAAGAAATTTGACTCATTTGGCAATACTGAAGCCTAACAGGACAACTGGAATAAATGGAATGCTTAAATTTTGCTTATGAGCAACACTCACTGTTAAAGATTACTACTTGTTTTACAGTTTAACTTAAAATGACTGGCTTTGAGAAATCAAGAACTATGCAGAAGTGTCTGGCAGTCTCTTACAAACCAACAATCAGACTTGAAAATCCAACAAATGCCTTAAGCATGACATTCTGAACAATCACTAATTCTAAAACAAGTAATATTGTCTTCAATATTCACTGCCAATTGCTTTATTAAACATGTTCTAACCAGCAGCTGTATAACAAAATACTCTTCAGTAGGAATCATCATTTAAAAATAACTCTGGGATGGATTCATTTGAATGGAGTGGTAACTCCCACACTCAGTGCTCTGGAAGGCCCTGCCAACACCAGATGACAGAGGAGATTCTGTACAGTAGAGGATGCAAGCCTACCGCTAAACCCCTCTGCAGGACTCCTGCCTAAGAACATGTCTTGTGCCACCCCGACACTCCTCCTGGAGCATGACAGGAGCCTCACATGCGCTTGTGACTTCCTAGGAGATGCAGTGGACATCTGACACTTGCAGTCTCAAGTAAGAGGCATGACCACGAAGAACTCCAGAGTGACAGTCATGGTGTGCCCCAAGACTGGCTTAAGGCTGCCTTAATAATCTAGAAGAATTCCATACACGTCGATGACAACTAAATGCACTGAAGATGACAATTTAACTGGGAAGCACTCCACATTGCAGTTAACTGACAAACACTAAGTTAACATACTAGTTCTTAGAACCACAGCACAACAGGCAGCTTCAGCAAAACAGCAACGGCTGAGAGCAGAGGGAAAACACGCAGCAATGGGAACACTAAGTGTCACCTCAGGGTGTGAGGCACAGAAGGAAAAAAGATTCTGCTTCACCATGGCACCTTCCACGCTGCTAAATTCTTTGAAGAAAAGAAGTGCCATGAGGAGCGAAAGATGGGCAAAGCTGATAGGAAAACATGGACTTTTTCCTGCTTCATCCCACTCTTGTTTTTCTAATATGAAAGGAAAACAAGAGCCGGCTAAAGCAAGAGCAGGTGTTCTTGGCTCACTCCCTGGACAAGGTCAGAGAGGAACCAAAATGGGAAGACCATGGCACTGACTGCAGGCTCCAAGGGGGTGAACCAGTCTGTGCCTCAACTGGCAGAAACTCTGGAGATAGAGGCATGCAGCCTCTTTTAAAGGAGTGAGTCCTGAAAGCAGGGATTTGGTCTCCAGTTATTTTCAGCTGAAAAGAACTCAGAAGAAAAATGATCACGTATATCAGTTTAAAAACTTAAATAACTGTGTCAAAAAACATATTATAAGGGAGCTGAAAAGTCAAAGTGAAAATTGTACTCAATTCAGACCTATCCGCTATACAAGTCTGCACTAACCAAACTGGGACACCACACTCAATGGAACACCACTTTAACTGCATTTCTTTGAAAGTGTTCACTTAGCACTGGAAATCCCCATTAAATTCTTTTTTGTCAAGAGTACTCCAAAATGTAAACCTAGACTGTATCAGGGATATCACAAGCAGCTAGGTGGAATGCAACCTATCCAGGTCTGAAGCAGCTGGCTTTTGTTTGTAAGTAACATCCCAAGATGCATTATTGAATAGCACTTCCAAGGATAAACAAGAATTAGTTTAACAAGTCTGTGTAATCTTTTTTTTTTCCCTTAGCAATTAGTTAGATCTGTCTATTCCTAACAAGAAGACTGATCAGTGTTCTACTGCAACTAAAACCAGAATGCATAACCGTAATATTTTTACTAGAGAAATTACTGGCCCTTGATTTAGTATTTCCTAGTCATGCCCTTCTATTTCAGTATTTTTTTACTCAATAGTCTGGTTTTTAATTTTTCCCTTTTGCTTTCTAATTACTGTTGGGAATAAGGAAAGCTTTTTCCCATGCAAGTGCTACCATCATGTGATTTCTAATCCTACTTTTAAATACAACTGTTCACAATTTGTAAGCAAAATATTTCTAAAAAAAAAGTAAATAATTGCTTTCTGATGCTGGTACTTGCAAAGGATCTACTTCCCTCTTCACTCTTTCAATTTATAGCAATGACGACTATTACACCACACAATTCCTCTTCTCCGTTTTTTACTCAAAGTTTCTAAACCCAAACTCACAAGGACAACAAGCGGGTGTTCAGTTCAATCGATGTCTCTCTGGAAAGATTCAGCATCTTAAAGGATCCACTGTTTGCTCCTTCCTGCAAACTTGAGCTTGCAACATTTTTATAACCTGTAAGGACCTCAGCACAGACCTAATCTTGCAGCCCTAGTGCAGACACTGTAAACACTGAAAATGTTGCCTGCTAAAGGACTACAGAATTGGGTCTTAGTACTTACAATTAAGCTTGAAATATTGATGACTACTTTTCCCCAGGACCCAGATTAGGTTTTAGGGGTTTTCTGCACCTTCCTGTCTGCTTGCTTCCTGCAAGGACTCAAAAAAACTGAAAGATATGCCAATTAAGTTCTCCTTCTGTAGTTTAACAGGGACAAGCACACTATTATACTAGAACATGTAATGTGCACTTACCAGACCATTGCAGTTGCTTAAGGCCACTTTAGTTGTACTGTGTTGGTCTTGCAAATATCCTGTGTAATGACAGTGGTCTAAAAAATCGTGCTTCCATTGCGGTCCATCTTTCCCCCAGTATTCTACTGTAAAATGTCTGGACACCAAATCTGTGTTGAGAGTCAGGTTTAAATGAAAGTGCTTGCCATAGGCAGAAAGTTTAAAAAATAATTTAGATGCTGCCAGTTCTTGGTCATAAGGGTCTGTGCTCCTCCTCCTTCTTGAGGGTTTAGCATTTTTCACAGTAAAGCTGAGGAAGGCTCCATTTTGATCAACCCTTATTGGGATTGTTAGTTGGTAGTGTTCAAGGTAAGACAGGAATTCCTCTTTGTAATCACAAGGTAAGACAGTCCAGGGAGTGGGCATAGAAGAGAAGAAAATATAACAGGAAACAATAAACAATACTCGGCTAAATCTCACCACCCTCACGAGTAAAAGTCATTTGCAGGTAAACGCGAGATGTAGCGTTTTACTAAATAAAATAAAATGGTTTTTTCTTTATTTTTCAGTCAAGAAAACGTGTTCAGTTTCCTATTAACTTGATGTTACTGGAAATAAGAAAAGTTTTCAACTACACATCTTTTCCTATTTACCCAAAATACGTAAACATTTGGGGCTAAATTCTAATGTAAGAAGGACACATTCTTCCCAGTGACACCATTCAAAGACAAAAGCTATTAGATCCACCTGCAAGAATAAAAACAGTAATAAAGAAAAGTATAATACTGTAAAAACATGTAAACATTTCAATGAAATCTTCATTTCATTGAAAACCTATAAACATTAATAGATCAAAGTAAGATTAGATCCTTACTTCCTCATCTAAAAACATGTTACTGTTATTATGGCAAGTCTCTAAATTATTATCAAGTACAAAATTTTACTAGATTTAATTTGCAAGGCTTTGCTATAGTTAAAGACAGACAGAAAGAAATTTAAAAATGTAACCAGATTTGCTGTATTTAAACTTCCATGACAATGAATCATGACAAAACTAAGAGCAGAGCCCATATGATCTCATGAATTACATAAACATGATTAGGAAAGTACTACCCAAATGCAATGCAAAAATAGATGCTTCTTGTCAGCTACAAAAGTCAGACCCCTACCTTGAGAACTATATGAAAGCCTGTTGTCACTGTGAAATTCTGATGAAACCACGACTAGGCTCAAAATCCATGTCCACGTCTTCCAAAAAATTTCCATAATTTAGGAAAAGAGAAAGCGTGGGGTTTTTTTTTCCCCTCCTCCTCTTTGGAGAGCTACCTGTGTGCTATAAAGTTAACTCCACTCCAGAATCGCACCATAACAGGTATATTTATTTTATACTACTTCCAAAATAACTACTGGACGTTCCACTTTTCGACAGGTATTCTTTTCCAACAACCTGTACCTTCTTCTATATCTGCAGTCATTTTCTCAATTCTGAATAAGCATCTGTAAGATTCCTTAAGATATCAGTAAGACGTTAGACTGGATAGTTAACTGAACTTGCTCCATTTCTTCACCTGAAAAACAAAAGAAAATGAGTCAAGGAAAATTCTTTCTACTCAAGCAGATCTACACTGCAAAACACTAAGCCATCACAGTGAACTACGCAATGTAACATTTTGAAATAATATAAAACATTGTCACTTTCACAGTCCAAGGTTACAATCTTACAAAACCCATGAATTGTCATTAACCTTGAACACCGGATCCATGCTTAAGATGCACATATTGACTTTATGTTAAATAGGCGTAAGGATTCATAAAACTAAAGGTTTCTTGTTGCTCAAATACTGTGTTCAGACTTGTTCCAGCTATAATCAATGCTATGCACTCATTGATTTTAGCAGTAAATAATCAGACCCAATACTCTACTAGACAAAAGAAGAACCCGGGAAAGAATCCAGAGTACAGTTATCTGATCTTTCTGCAGCATGTATTTTGTTATTACTTGGACCTGGGTTCTGCTTATGCAGGCGGAATTCTCATTCACTTAAACGGGAATGCTGCACGTTCTAATACCAAAGAACGAATTTCAGTATCCAAAGCTATTAATCATACACATTCTAATTTTTCAAATACTCATTGTCAAAAATGTTTTGTATATAAGTTAACTACAATTTGATGTAGTAGAATATATTTTTATTTTCATTTTGCAGGTCTTGGGATTGAGCAAATAACATGTTACTTTCCCCCTCCCCTTTTTTTTTTTTTTTTTTTTTTTTTTTGCATTTAAAATACTATTACAGTGATACTAAAAAGCAGCTCTAGCTGCGGCCAGGGATTAAATGGAAGATCTATACACTCAACTAACAGTCCAGCATCGTGGGACACCAAAGCACGTGTTGTGTCAGCTGGTACTAATCAGTCCCCTTAAAAGCACTCTCAGCACACCTGCGCATGGAGCAAACTGCTGAGGCAGACAATGGAGAAAAAGAACACCTAAGAAGGGAAAAATGTTTAAAAATGTCTTTGCAAAAGCATATAGAGTCATTTACACATGCACCAGATAAATTTGCGTTCCTAAAATTCTGGGAATTATTTACAACATTAATTCCAACAAGGAAAAGCCCTGCAGTCAGTGGATTGTTCGTAAAGGTTAAAGAGTTGTAGCATATCATCTCAAGAAAAAGCAACATCATGCAAATCCTATTTACTAACATCACAGTTAATATTATGAAACTTCTTAGCCAGTTTGAAACACATCTAATTATTACTGTGTAAATTACGTTAACCTGATCATTCTACTTTTAAATATCATTCAAGACAGCATGCAGGATTTAATCAGGTTTGTAGAGGGAATAAAAGACACTCCGCAAGCACAGCTTTGGCTTAGTAGCATTTTTTTTCTGGGGAAGCATAAGGATTTAGTGATGCCGTTCACACGCAACAAGGCCTCAAAGCATATTAATAAAATCTCCAGTCTGGCCTTCCATGTAAAACTTCTATTTCCTAGCTAACATTTAGTTACAGCTTTTAGACTTTTACAAGTTTTGAAGAGACAATCAACCCCACACTCTTCAGCTACATCAGTACACTAAATAATGTGCCTTATTTCTAATCTCAGAAGGTCCAGCTCCAAACTGCTGTCACTGAATCTTGCTTTACCCGTCTGCTAATGAGCTGCTTTTGTCTCCTCCCATGGAAAGTTACAATCCGATACAGGCACCTTTTGACACTTCCTGATAAGCAGCTCAACCTATCTGGTTTACCTCTCTCTGTATCATCCAGTTTCCAGATGCCTTAATACTTCTGCAGTTTTCTTCTGAGCCCTTTCCAATTTGTCCGCATCCCTTTTCATGCACAGACACCAGAACTGGACACTGTAGTCCAGTAATGTCTCATTACTGCCATATATAGAGGTAACATTGCCTCACAGCTTTTACTTGGAAAAAAAAAAAAACCTAACAGGGAGCTCATGCTCAGCCTCTTAGGCTGATAACAAATTATCCTAACATTAAGATCTCCTGAAACCGACCTAAGGAGCTAGGTAGCTCAGAATACTGGACATAAACTACATTGCCCATTACTCAGACACCAACAGCCCACATGGTGGGCGTTGGTCAACGGTGTCCAACTGTGATCCACGGCTGGTGTCTTTGTAGCGGTCTGTGCGAAACACTCTCCCTCATTGCAAGCTTCACACAAGAAAATCTCTTTCACATTAAGCTTGCAGGAAGTTTCAGCAGAATTTTTAACCCCCTTTCCAGAAGTATTATAGGCAGCTTGAGCGCCGATACAAGCAGACCACATGCAGGTGTATTAATGCTCCAAATTAAGGAGTAGTAATGAAGGACAAAGCACTTGGGCAAGTCCAGATACAGTACTTTCAGTACGAAGTTCGGTACAAACCTCAAAGTGTCCACCGTCCATACCCTTTTTTCTCTCCTTCTTCCTCAGTAGCATATATTCAGCATTTCCCTTCTGACTGTTATCAAGATGACACATTTGGTCAATACTAAGCTTACAGTAAGAAGCATATCCTCTGTCTTGTGTACACATTCACCCACTGGTAAGGGCAGCTGCGGCTCCATGTCCTGAACCACTACCTAAAACCACAGCTCCTGCCTAATCATAAAACTTCTGCCGAGCAGCAAAGAAAAGCCACAAGATGTTTTTTGAAACCTAGGATGTCAATGACAAAAGAGGTGCACAGCACCGGCATTTCTGTAGAGGCACTGGTGACAAGAGTGGCAGTTCTGTCACTGGTGCTATGAACTCCCTACCCAATGAAACTCAACAAGGAGAAAAAAGGGCCCAAAGACATACTGGACTTTGGAGCACAAAGTGGATTATGGCAAGGCGACTAACCAAACTGCTCACACCAGACACCTCAGGAGCCTCCATCTAAGCAAAGGCACCTCGGGCAACTTGGGCGTCTCTTAAACTGAAGGCAGCTGAATTTTTGGGACAGGCAAGCTTCCAAGAGACCACCATCCAAGAGCATCACCACATGTGCCGCCTCCCCTGGGAACTGCCAC